GAGGATTCATGAATAGACTGCGAGACCTTCAATGAATCAACTCCGGATGACGCGATGCAAAGCAGACGGCTCCCTGATGGAATCGTTTGAGAGAGTTGTTGTGATGTAGGCAAGCTAGAGTCATCCGGACGACGGTCGGGCGGCAGCAGCAGCAGCAGCATAAGGAAGCGAGGCAAAGGAGGGGAGCATTTAGTTTTCACCATCATATTTCCGTCTATCGCAACGGCCGCATGCTCGTCACTCCTCCTGCTTCCTCGGTCAACTCGCATGACCTCTTGCCCCCCCTGCGTGCCTGGTCGAGGACTGCGAGGCTCTTCCATAGCGCGCGATGTTCACCATCTCGCCCTCCTCCCTTGAATCTCTTCCATTCCCTACACGCCTCTCCTCCTCGTCCTCCTCCTCCTCCTGCACAAGAGCTGCAGGGTTCTCATCGACTCCTCCTAGTGTCTGGACTGGAGAAGGAGGATCAGGCGCGCGTTCCCAACTTCTCCCTCACCTCGGCACACGTCGCCACTCCCTGCGTCCACAAAGAAGGTGACAGACGCCTCTTGTGCGATTTCCTCCTGCTCCATCGTGAGTGAAAGACGCGGAGGATGAGGGTTGAGTCAGAGGAGGGAAGGAAAGAGTTCGGAAGGCTGAACAGCGGAAGTCGACGTCAAGAGAGAGGAGCGAGCAGGAGCGAGAAGCGATACTCTTGTATCGAATTCCAGCACTCGGATTGAAGCTACATGCATCCCTTCGGCAAGATCCTGCGGGTCTTGAAGGGTCACGAGGAGGAGGAGGAGGAGGAGATTGCCTGGTCGATTGTCAGCTTGCCAGGACTCAACAGCCTTAACGAAGACGAGGGTGTCAGCGACGTGCGCGCAGCTGGGGAGGATCACCAGATGTCGAGCATGAATCCTTCTTCCAGGTCATGCTTGCACGACCCTCCAGCGCTGCAGTCCTCCTGCTCCACTCCTACACGCCACCGTCACATGCGGATCTCGCAACCCCTCGGCTAACAGCACCTCCCTTGTCCTTCATCCGTGCGGCTCCGTCCTCCAGGATCAGCTCCGACTCATACTCGTGACAGAGGAGCATCTGGCCATGCCGCGCAGGCGTGTAGCTCGTCGGCAACGGTTTCAGCGCGCCATGGAGCAGGTAGCAGAAGACCTGAGGCAGAGTGACGGGGAGGAGCTACGGATACGAGGCTGACCTGCACTTGCATGGAGAGGATCACCTTCCTCGAGGCCGGCAGCTGAAAGAACTCCTCGGTCAAGGCAAGGGAGACGTAGCCTCTGTCCGCCCGATCGATACAAAAGTCTTCGGGGGGGAACAGGACGGCGACATAGTTTCCCAAGCTCCCTTCCCTGTCTTCTTGTCTGGAACCCAAGCTCTCCTCCTCTTCCTTGTTCTCCTCCTCCTCCTCCTCCTCCCCTGCCGTTGTCCGCGTCGGCTCGATCACAGTGAAATTCAACACTGCAAACTGAGCTGGCGGATCCGAGTCACTATGCTGAATCACCTGTAGCGAGTGCGGAGAGCCGCACGTCATCTTGCCGATGCTCCTACATGGACTCGAAGAGCAAGAGGCAAGCGGCTGCTCATCGACGATCATCGTCACAGGCTCATGAGCGAAGACGAGGAGCTCGAACTCGTCTACTTCCTCGTTCTCGATCTCGATGCCGTCTTCTTGCTTCGTGTACCATGCAGGAGTGGTGGATCTGACATAGCCCTGGACGCAAGCGGAACGATGAGGACAGAAGGAGAGGGAGAAGAAGAGCAAGAAGGAGAGAGAGGGAGGAAGGGAGGGAGAGTGAGCCAAGGGGAAGGGGAAGGGAACGAGGGGAGGAGGAAACGATCTTGTCATTCCGCCATGGCTTCAGATCGCAGTCCTCATACAGCACAAACTCGTTGCCCAGGCTTGAATTATCCGTGAATATCCGTGGGAGTATCCGGGAGTATCCGTGAGGTATCCTGAGATCTACTCACGAGGCGGCCTCCAATGGTAATGGCAGGGAGGCGACGGGGGGAGGAGGTGGGGGAGGAGGAGGGGGGGGGGGGATGGAGGAGGAGAGATGGCGGAAAGAAAGTATGAAGGTGAAGAAATACTATCCCTCGCGGGGAATGGAGCCACTGAGAGGACGGAGGGAAGGTTGAAGGAAGCTCGTAGCATCAGGCCGTTGCGACCACAAGGTCGAGGAAACGTAGAGGATCAGTTTAAAAGAAGGTGAACATTCACATCTGAACCAGATGATTGATGGTCGGGAAGTAGAGGAGAAGGGGGGCAGGGAAGAGTCCAGTCTTGACATGCTGACGCGCTCTCCTCAGGTTGGGAAGCTGAAGCTCCTTGTTCCGAGCGTGCTGCTCCTGATTCTAGAGGGCGATGCCTTTCTTGTGCCACCTCTCCTCGCGTCTCTGAGGCCGAGTGAGGCTTTTCTCCTCCTCTCTGTCTTGCTTCTCACTTGCTTTACTCGAGGGGCCCAAGTCTCGCGGCAGACATGCAGCTCGTTTGCCGGTCGGTCCCTGGCCCCCATCGGGCTGAGGTTGTGGTTGTTTCACTCTTCCTCCCAGCATGCTGATGTTGCTAGCAGAAGCCCTGCTGCTCCTGTCCAGCTGTCTGGCAGAGCCTCGACGTTGCGTATGGCGTTGCAAGTGGAGGTAGCAGGGAAGGTGGCGGGGGCCGTGGGGCTGAGCGTGCGTAGGTGATGGACCTGCCCAACAGTCAGAAGAAGCTCGCCATCACCGTGTCAGCCGACGAGTGCAACACGGCCTATGAGACCATCATCTCCAAGCTCGCCCGCACTGTGAGGATCAGTTGGGGGGGGGGGCAGGGTTGGTTGAGAGGCAGGAGGGGGGCTGGAGTGGGGTGTCGGGCGTGAGGGGGCTGACTTGAGGGCAGGCCGACGTGCCGGGGTTCCGCAAGGGGAAGGCTCCTCCACAGATGGTTCTGAATCACTTCGGCAAGAAGAGCATCACCGCGCAGGCTTGCGAGCAGATCATCGGCTCTGCCGTCCCTGCGGCACTCCAGCAGAAGAACATCCGAGTAAGAGCTCGACGCGCTCGTTCCTGTGCTCCTGTGACTCCCTGCAGGCGATCGGGCAAGCACAGATGGCGGACGATGAGGCGATCGGAAAGATGATTGACAACTTTGCGCCTGGACAGGTAATCCTCCTCTCGTTGCTGCTGCTGCTACTGCTGTTCTTCTTCCGCTTCGTGCTCCTCCTTCTCTTCTGCCTTGCAAAGCAGCCCTGATGCTCCGCCGGCAGGACATCAAGTTCGAGGTCCTCGTCGACATCTGGCCTGAGGCATCGCTCAAGGGCGCCTACAAGGGCCTCACAGTGAGCTGCTGGCGGCCTGTGGCTTGTGCTGATCGCGGCTGCAGATCGAGGCGGAGGAAGAGCCCTTCGAGGAGGAGCTTGTTTCGAATGCCCTGTCGGAGATGCGCAAGAGGGAAGCGTTCTCGGTAGGAAGAGGAGGCTGCTGACCCTCTTCCTCACCTGCTGATGACCTTCCTCGCACCTCCTGCTTCTGATGCCCTTGCTCACTCGTCCTGCAGGTTCTCTCGGGTGCGGACACGAAGGCAAAAGTGTATCCTGCATCCCTCGGGGACTCGGTCGATGAGATCAAGAGAGAGGGAGCAGTTTGCGTCGTTGACTTGATCGGATACAAGAAGAACGCTGATGGCTCCAAGGTGAAGAACGTCTGAGGTGGGTCTATTGCGATTGAGAGTGGATCCCAGGGCGATCGCCTGCCGGATCTTGCGATCGGAGAGAATGTCGAAGTTGTGATGGAGAAGGGAAAGTTCTTCGAGGGCTTCGTTGAGAGCATCGACGGGATGCAGGCAGGGGACCAGGCGTCCGTCCCTGTCACCTTCCCCACCAACCACAAGGTACATCGGGACTGAGAGGTGGCGAGCGAATGACACTGTCGGAGGTCGCGGAGCTGCGGGGGATGGAGGCGATCTTCGACGTGACGATCAAGGGCCTGAAGGACATGATGTACCCGGCCCTCGACGATGACTTCGCCAAGAAGATCCCCAACTGCGACTCCGTTGTCGCGCTCAAGAAGAGGATCAGGGAGAGCATTACTGAGGTGAGCAAGTCGCCCAGCTGGAGGCCAGGATGTGACGATGAAGCAGGAGAGCTTGATCTCCACCGGCAAGAACGTCGACAAGGCGCTCGAGAACGCGATCGTCGACCTCGTCGACGTCGAGATCCCCGAGACCCTCGTGGACGAGCAGACCAAGACCAAGTTTGCGAGCATGATGTCGGACTTCAAGGCCAAGGGGATGGACGACGAGCAGATCAAGTCGATGATCACCAAGGAGAACTACGACAGGTACAAGTCGACCAGCAGAGACAACACCGTCCGCTCCCTGCGCATCTCCTTCGTCATCGGTGAGCTCCCCCTTCCTTTCCTCGTCCTCCCTTGCGTCCCTCAACCCCTCGACTGAATCTCCTGCTCTCCTCCTCCTCCCTCTGCTCAGTGATTTGCAGGTGAGATCGCCAAGCAGGAAGGCATCAAGGTTGACCCAACAGAGATCGAGTCGCAGGTCCTCCTCCCTCTCCTCCTCGTCCTCGTCCTCGCCCTCCTCCACTTTCCTTCCCTTCGCATCCTCGTCATCGACCGAGGGTGATTCTTGATGCAGATGGCTGTGATCAAGCAGAAGTACTCCACAGAAGAGATCGATGAGGAGCAGGCCAGGAGCAAAGTGGAGGTGAGAAGGGCGGGAGCGCGTGTCGCACTTTGACGAGCTTGACTGCAGGCTGATCTTGAGCGCAAGAAAGTGCTCGAGTTCTTGAGGAACAACAACAACATCAAGCTGATCCCCAAGAAGGAATCCTCTAGCTAGATAGAAGAAACCCTGTGATTGAAGACCCGTGAACACTCTGGGATTCACCTCTCCTCCTACCCTCTACTCCTAACCTCTCCTCCTACCCTCTCCTCTTAACCTCTCCTCCTACCATCTACTCCTAACCTCTCCTCCTACCCTCTACTCCTAACCTCTACTCTTAACCCCTACTCTTAACCTCTCCTCCTACCCTCTACTCCTACCCTCTGCTCTTCAACCTGCTCGTAGTTCCTCGAGGATGAATCACTCGGCTCCTCATCGTGTCATCCCCCGCCCTCCGCTTGTTCCCCAGCATCTCATTCCATGGCATTTTCCATCTTTGTTGTTATAAAGACTACCCCACCCCTTCTTTCTACATTGAAATACCCCACCGTTTGTAAGCCTCTGGTCGAACGAGAAGCATGGCCTTGTTTGGAGGTAATCAGGCGGCGGCATGAAGGGGGAAGCGGTCGAGCGTGGGAGAGGGAGGGAGGGAGGGAGGGAGGGAGGGAGGGAGGGAGGGAAGGCAAGAGAAGAGGGGCAGCAGGAAAGGGGAGGAGAGGAGACAAGAGAGATGAGGATGGGAGGATTGGAGGAGGAGGGGGGTAGGCAGAAGAGTGGAGGTTGTGAGTAGAAGTCACATTTAGTCCACATGGACATGATGCGACTTAGACGAATGTCTTCCTCATGATGCGACTTAGACGAATGTCTTCCTCATGATGCGACTTAGACGAATGTCTTCCTCATGATGCGACTTAGACGAATGTCTTCCTCATGATGCGACTTAGACGAATGTCTTCCTCATGATGCGACTTAGACGAATGTCTTCCTCATGATGCGACTTAGACGAATGTCTTCCTCATGATGCGACTTAGACGAATGTCTTCCTCATCGCGCGCTCTCTACTCACATCAAACTTACAGGTTGGCTCCGGTCGGGCTTGAGGGTTTGTGCTCCTACCTCTCAAGCTCAGAGGCTGTTCCGACCTTTCTCGTCATCATCTGGGGAGGGAGACGCCAATCATCGAGACCCAGCAGCATCTACGAAACCAGACTCAGCTGTACCTGGTATGCCGTGAGCCCCGCGAGCCTCTCTGAACGATACCTTGATGTAGAAGTGGCTGCCAAACGCTCCCAGCCGCAGAAGAAGAAAGTGCTGTCGGGGGTGGAGCTTGCAGTCGGAGGGTACAAGGTCAACCGGAGCGTGTGGGGGAGCATATCAGAAGCCAAGGTGTCAGACTTGGCGAGAAGGATTGAGGTGAGGAGTGTCCCGCCGGCCCCCCCCTGACGCTCTTGGAAGAAACTGGGGATCTTGGCGTCGGACATCCAAGAGCAGTTCGTACGAGGTACGTCAGCCTCGTCTGCCCCCTCGTGCCGCGTGACCTCCTGCAAGGTTCAGGGAGAGGCGGGCAAAAGATGAACAAGACTGCGTCCAAGGTGAGGATCACGCACATCCCCACAGGCATACAGGTGAGAAGCGCCTCCCCTCGCCCTGCCGTCGCGGGTTCGTCCAGGGTTCACGTGCTGCTGGCAGGTGGCTTGCCAGACTGAGCGGGAGCAGTCGATCAACAGGTCCTCCTTGTCTGACCTCCTCCTCCCCCCTCTCATGCCCTGCAGATTCCTAGCGATGCGCGAGCTCGTGTCTCGACTAGAGAGCGACGACCAGGTGCTGGGCCTCAAGCTCGCAGGTGCCATGAGGCTGACCTGCCGCTGTAGAAATCCGAAGGAGAGAAGGAAAGAGAGAGGATCCGAAAGTTGAAGGCGAGAGCGAAGAGGAGGTGTTCTTCGAGCCTCTACTTCGAGCCTCCTCTTCAGCCCCTGACAAGTTTCCTCACAGACACAAGAAGCTAGCAGAGCAGAAGAAAGGCTTCCAGGACGTCGAAGCCGACAGCACAAAGGAGGAGGATGCTGGAGTCGTGCAGGAGGAAGAAGACGTGGGCGACATGGAGCACAATGTCTCATTGCCCGATGGACTGGAAGGAGGGGGGTCAAAGAATGATGGTCGGCAGGCTTGAATGAAGTCGCACTTCTACTACCAGACTATTCGACTGATCCAACCCACTCAAGTTTCAATCCGCACTCCCGTCTCCGTGGTTGGGCCCCTAGAATCCCAGGTGGCTGAGTCGCTTGTTCCCCGTGTAGATGGCGCGGGTCAACTCTCCTTCTGAGATCTCGCGCGCAGAAGAGACGGCGTGTAGTCCCATCAGGGCCAGCCGCAGGCGGTAGGGGCAGACCTTCCACTCTGAGGTGCGAGCGGTCAGATGAGCATCAGGACTCGCAGGGCAGCCTTCAGGTACCGGAGTCCTTGTCGGGGGCCGGCAGCGTCTTGGAGAGCTCGTCGATCTGCTTGCTCCACTTGAGAATGCCAGTCTGTGAGCAGATTAGCCGACAAGAGGAGACAGCTTTTCCAAGCTCGCCTGCAGCTGCTGCCTCGACCATGTCGGATGTCCGATCCCTCGCTCCAGGCACAAGTCCAAAAGGTCATGCTTCGAAAGCTCTGCGACGCCCTGCAGCAGAAAGAGAGGTTCATTTCTAGAAGCTCATCGCAGAGCGAGCTCCTCTCATCACCTTCTCTCCCTGCTTCGACAGCTCTTCGTCGGCAGAGATGACATCCGAAATGTGCCCTTTGATCGGGAACTTGAGGACGAAGGCAGGGAGGAAGGAGAAGCCGGCGTTCATCGCTATCGCCGCTCCCTGGCACCCATGACGTCAGCTGTGTGAGGGAGGAGGGAGGGAGGAGGGAGGGAGGAGGGAGGGAGGAGGGAGGGTGTACCTTGATGAGAGCAGGAGGAACATCGCCAAAGTCAGCCCTGTGCTGCTTCTTGTCTCCCAACGCTGTAGCGTTGTAGAACACCCATTTCGCGGTGCTGTCGAAAGCCTTGCGCCATGATCCGGCACCGAGAGCCTTGAGGGCCCCAGACTTGACTGTAAGAGCTTGTTTAGCGCTCTCAGGGTTCTTGTCGTTCTCGCACTCCTTCTCAAGGTCAACAATGCCAGTGAGCAGACCAGCTATCCTCGCCGCCGCTAGCTCTTCATACTTTCTGTCCCTGTGCTTGGGCAGGTCGAAGGTAGAAGGCAGCGCACCAGGCCAGAAGATCAGGTAGTAGGGAAGGATGGAGGGGGAGACAGCATAGATAGCCAGCATACGAATGAGCTTGGCAGTGTCCTTCTTCTCCCGATGGAGCAAGCAGACGTCTGACATGCTGACCTGCAGCCCCTTCTTCCTCTTCTCGTTGATCTCTCGAACTTCGCCCCAGTTGTGCCATATCCCGCTGAACCCCGCGCGAGTTCGTTGCCACATCTCAGAGAAGTATTGGCCGAGCTGCTCTCTCTGCTGGTCCAGGAAAGCGAGGCTCGGCGGAGCTACAGCCGCCAACTGCGAGTTCAGTTTTGCCCTCTCCCTTCCCCGCAATCCCATCCTTTGGGGACAAGCAACGGACGAGGGAGCAGGGATGCAAGAGGAGGGCAGAGGGAGATGAGCGACAAGGAGGAGGGACACGAGGAGGCAGCAGGAGGAGGCAGCGCCTGTCCACCCCACGCTCCTACTCCCCTGCATGCTGCTGGCCATGATCCTTGCTGCGAGGAACACAAAAAAGGAATTTAGTACCCTACCCTTACAAGGTAGCCAATATTTGTCTAGAAAATACCGGTAGTCAATTACTTTTGCGAACTGCTGGGATGGACGTAAAGCACTGCACAGCGGGGGCCAAACCACATGCGCACCTCATCCCCTCGTCCCCATCACTGCCCGGCCCGGCCCGATCCGGCGATGACCCCTGGACCCTCACTGAACTCGATCACCCGATAAAATCCGCTACTAGCTGGCATGGTGTTGCCCTTGAAGATTCCCACGGCCTCCGCAATGCCACCAACATGTGGAGAGGGGACGCTGTAAGGGGTGGATGGTGAGGAGAGGGATAAGACTGCTCATCCTCATCCTCATCCTGAGTATTCTGCAGCTGTCTTGCTTGTTCACTCTTGCTCTCGCTGATCCTGCTTCCTCGTCGTCGCGTTCTTTCAACCTGTCCTTCTTTCTTGCCCCGATTCGCCGACCCTTCCAAGGGTTGCGTGCTCCTTTCCTCGCTTGCTCGCCGCGCAACACAACTCCTTCAGACCAAAACGTCAGTCGGTTTGCTTGGGTGGTACTTGAGCTGTCTCCATGCTTCTTTGTCTGAGTGAGTCGAAGGTTCCCGACCTGAAGCGAAGGTTTGGTTTGTCGAGAGATAAGCCAGTCGCAGGCATGGCACAAGGTGCAAGCGTTGATCCAGCATGGCAGGTTCACTGAAAACTTGATACAATCTGATTTTCGTCGTAACATCCTTTCACTTTAGCTTTCAAGAACAGACTTGCGTCGAACATACGATTCTTACATTTCCATTGTTGTGGCCGCCAGCGATTGATAGCCTACACTGACATTTCTTTGCAGGTCGAGAAGGATGCGCAGAAGATGATACAGTTAACAGACAAAGAAAAGCTCTACATCCCCGAACAGGTTGCCGCTCCCGTCACTCGCCGAGCTTGAGGGACTGAACGAGGAGACTAGGTGGTGCAGTCGAGGATTAAAGCATTCGAGGACGCCAAGAGAGTGAACGCAGCCTTTGTGGAGGTGACACAGAGCTTGCCGGCCAGACCTGACAGTCTGATGCAGAAAGTCTTGAGCTCTCTGCCCGCTGACAAGCCAATGATCAGCACGGATCGGGTCATGGCGGATGAGGGACAGGAGCACAAGAAGCGCCAAGCTCTTGAGCTGACACACTACCCCGGTCAGGCGCACAGCTGCGAGGGCTTCTGCGTGTGCAGGCAGTGACCGTGCTCTTCAAGGGATTCGCTTGGGCTCACAATCGTACAACACCATGGGGTCCGTCCTCCTCCACATCTTCCGAGACTGGAGTGAGGAGTGTACCCACGTGCGCTTGCCCTGCCCTTGCAGTCGCCAGCTCATTCGGCTCCAGGTCGTCCGGGACGTCTATGCTCCTATCGTCGAGCAAGTCAAGGTACGGGCCTCTGATCGCATGCTTCTCCTTCCCGCAGGCGTGTTGATGAGGTCGCGCCCCCAGCTAAGGCTGCCGTGCCAGTCCCGTGCGCCATCGATCTTGATTCCTGGGTCTGGTGAAAGATTCTTTTGTTATGCGGCCGTCTCATTGTCTTGACGTCTCAACTCTCTTCCCTTAGGATTGTCGCGGCTCGCTTTCGAGCTCAAAGGCGCTGGTTGCTGAAAACCGATCACCTGTCCAAGGAGTTGAATTTTCGTTTCAGGGTATGCAGTGGAGTGTAACGAGTTCAGCAAGATCTTCGCGACATTTGCCAATTACTTATTCAACGATTGCGGTACTTGTACTGGCGCCTTCAATCTTCGTTGTGACTGGATCTCTCAGAGACTTCAAGCAATATATGTCCTCTCTCCCACGTCTTCTCCGAGAACTGGAAGCTTGCTGGTGACCTCTGCTGCTGTGGTTGTGTACCGGTGACGATCGGCTTTGACCCGTTCATCGCAGATCAATACATGCAAGTGAACATCCCGACGAAGTTTCCGAGTCAAGCGAGGCATTCTTTCTCTGGCTCTCCTTCTTCCTGCTTCTCAAGCTTGTCGCTCAGCTTCGCTTCTCCCATCCGGATGACTACCGGCGACTTCGTTTCACTCTACAACGCAAAAGACGGACCAGCTCATCGGAAGTTTGAGTAACCAGCATAAGCGTATTGCTATTGCCCCTTGATGCCCATGCAGTTGTGTTGTGACGTGCTTCTTCATCGATACCTGCGATGATCTCATCGATTACATTCAGACCATCGATTCGCTGCTTGTGGTGATTGAGCCAGGAGTGACCAGGAACAACTTTCACGTGAATGTTCCTGCAGGAGGGCGGACTTTGGATCAACCTCGGGCCCCTCAACTACAAGAAGGAGTTGAGGCTGAAGCTCACGGTAACCTTGGCCGCACCTGCTCCATGCGAAACTCAATGATCATGCGCTCGTCTGACCGTCGTTGCCTCAAGTGGGATGAAATGGAGCAAGTTTGGATCCAGCTAGGATATCGCTTCCTCGATGTTCGTAAGGTGCTTCAGCCTCACGTTCAAGTTGATCAGTCACCCGACACTGACCGTCTGTCACTCCTCAGCTACACACCGCTTACCATCTGGCCTCTGGGATCAAGATGTACACTGAGCAGGTGAGTCTGGCAGTCACGCCGCGTTCAGTGAGCCGGTCGAGAAGGCTGCTGACTCCTCATTGGTCCGATTGGATCGAACTGCAGTACGATCCTGTGCTCTCCGTCGCTTTGAAGGAAAGCAAGTGAGCTTGCCTAGGACTCGGATGATGAGTAAACTTCGTACTCGGATTCTTTACTCAACTTGCAGTAAAAGTAAAGTCTTTACTCAAAGTTAACTTAAAATGTCAGTAGTAGTATTATGCTTGTCACGAGCGGCCCCCCCAGGTCTCACTGAGATCTCGAATGACTAAAATGTTTAGTTAAAGTTATCTCGGACCGTCCTCGTTGCCTGGGAGAACGGGCAGCCAAGAGTACCTGCGAGTGCTACAGATTCTTTTTTTTGGTCGGCCTCCAAGGGGAAGAAGGGGCGACGATTGAGTAGGAAAATAACCGGTACTCAGAGAAATTCAAGTCGTCGTTGTTTTCTTCGTTTGACTAGGAACATCGGAATTCCATACGGGCGGAGGTTCTATCTTACCTATGACCATTGAGTCGCAGTAAGGTCGCCTCTTCAAGTCAAACTTTCCTGTTGTCAAGAGGCAATCTTCCAACCATTCCATCAGAATTTCAATTTTCAAAGTAAATTTTGACCAAACGGTCGTAAATCGTTGTATGGCCTTTACGAGCGCCATCAGCAGCCGAGGCCGGCGATCCGATAAAAATAATATTCAAAGCGAAATTATTTCTATGAGAATTTCAATTTTAGTTGTAAAAATTGTAATAAGTACTGCAATCGGAGTCGGGAAGACACAATCCAGTCGGAGGTGGAGGTAGGGTATTCCGGGATGATCCAGGGGTACCTACATTTCAACTACGAAAGGAGGGGTGTAGGGACACTCAATGGAGGAGAGGGAAAGAGGGAGGGGGTAGGGTGGTATCGGTGGAATTGTGAAGCCCATTATCCCAGAGCAAGAGGAAAAGAAGAGGGTAGACGAGCAAGAGCAAGCAAGGGAGTAAGAGTTAGAGTCGAGGAAGAAGAGGAGTGTGTAGGAGAGGATTGAAGCCTGGGACTGGCAGTTGTTTGTGTTGACATCGGACCTGGAGTGAGCGCATTCCATCAGCCCAGGAGATTGTCACTGTGAAAGCATGCAGTTTGCTGAGATCCCGTTCATTTCGAACATCTGGCCCGTCATCAAGAGCGAGGGGGGTTTCCCTCAAGGCTCAACCAAGAATCAGGGAAAGTACTCCATGTCGGACCTGGAGATCACGAGGACCTACGAGGAGACGAAGCAGAGGATTAGGGCGAGGTTTGCGAGCGAGGACCATTTCCACGACAGTTCTGTGCTCTACGAGGTGAAGATGCAGGAAATACTGCGAGGCGAGTGCAAGGAGAACTTCTCTGAGCAGAAGCATGGTTTCATCGAGGAGGACGATTCCTCCGATGCCCTGTCCCAAGAGTCCACTCCCGATGGCAGCTGCACGGTCCTGATGACTTTAGAGACGGCACGGGACAAGGCTCCCGTGGTAGACCTGCAGATCGTCTCTGCAAGTGAAGCTGTGGTGGAGGATGCGGACCTCGAAGACTTCAACGAACCACTCGACGACAGGGAGGGAGAGGTAGTTCCAGACTCTTTGAACGGATCTGCTCTTGTTCATTTCGCGGGAGTGTGTGAGGACGAGGCTGCTCTTGTTCATTTCGCGGGAGTGTGTGAGGACGAGGCGAGTCAGGCTTGCTGCAACCTCTCTCATGAGGAGCTGATGAGGAACATCGACGAAGCTCTCATCAACAACGAGCTTGCCATTGCTGAATGTCAGTTCGAGATCCGGAGAAGCTGTTGTGCCTGAGGAGGCGAGGCCTCTCCCTGAGAACTGAAAGAGGTGAGGAGGTGAAAGTTTGTGCCTGCCCCTTTGCCTGGATGTACTTTGAGATGATACGTTGGAGATTCAAAGAATTTTGTGATACCGCGATGTGCTTGATAAACAGATGCACACAGCATGATTTTTTGCGCATGCTGATTGTTTCATAGATACGATTCATTCCGTTATGTTGCTGATGAATAAAATCTGACAAACTCTGGCTTGCACTCTCTTGCTTCAAGTGCTCTTGTTCGAATTACTCGCGCGGTGCAGTCGGACACTCTCCTTGTTCTTCAACTCTCGCGCTGCGCGTCATCCAAGTCAAGGACAATCTAATCAACCTCTGCGTCTCACATTTCACGATCTCGGATAATCTTTCAAGGATGTCTTCACGTTTCTGCAGCAGCCTGAGCCAGAAGTGACTTCGCCCTCCTCCTTCCCTCTGCCCTCACGGAGTGATGGCGTCCCGCGACACCTTGGCAAGCTCGCAGCGGCGAGTCGCCTGGCGTGGCATGAAAGTTAAGACCAAGGGCGAAGGCAAGTTGTCACTACCGTGATGGTGGCAGTCCGGGGGTTACCGAAGAGGAGCGTCATCTCACCTACTGTAGACAAGCGCTCAGTCACACTGGGATCAGGACCGGAACCCCCGGCTCTCCGCCGCCTGCCTGCATCTGCCGGCCCGAGGCTCGCCACGTCAATGGAGGCCTCTAGGGACAACCTGTCCGACCATGAGTCGCTGCTGCTCGAGGCTCGAAAGCTCACTGACCAGATGGTCACTTTGAGGCTGCCGCTGACGACGACGTACATGCTGTCGTCTGCCTCGGGACTTTCCCCCTGCTCAAAGAGAACCTGCCGCCATCATCAGGGCACGTGAAGCTATACGTGACCGAAGAGTCATAACCTGATCGGATGCCAAACTCACGTAGACACATCTGCTCGCCAATTCCACTCGCTCCTGCTCGTCGAGCAGCTGCCGCGGGACCGTCAGGTCGGGACTGGCAACAGGCGGAGGGAGGGGGGAGAGTCTTCACCGTGAAGAGCTCGGACTTGGCTTTGAGCAAGGCCTCCTCGATCAGGTCTCTCTCCGCCAGCACCTGGATGCTTCACACGGGCTCACAAACAGCAGCAGACCATCGCTGTGCCTGCCTATCGCCTTTGGTCCCGAGCTGAATGCCGAACCGCATGGGACCCTCGATGCCGCCGACTGAACCTGCCTCCTCCCCGTTGATGAAGAACTTCATGACCCCTGGTTCATCCACCAGTCAGATCGAGCAGGCACCTCCGACATTCTGCTGCCTCCGTAGGCCATGACGGGGAGAAGCTCTCCAGCTGCGGACCTCTCTTTCTTCCACTTCCCCTGCACTTTGTACTGGAACCCTTCATACCTGCGAGGTCACACTCAGGCCGGGGCAGGGGGCAGGCTGACAGCAGCGTCTCTTCCTGCAGACGAGGCTGTCTTGCTCCAGCAGCGCGATCTCGTTGTTGGGAGGTCTCGTCAGGGTCGTTGCCTTGGACTTCTGACTGAAGGTTCCAGTCAACCATCGAGAGCACGGAGTTGCCTGTCGGCCTCACTTCATGTAGTACTTCCGTCTCCTCAGCCGGATGTACTGGCACAGATGGTACTCCCCGTACTGCCCGATCGGCACCTCCAACCTTGCCTGTCCCTGCAGCTCCACCACACAGTTTTGCTCCCCTTTGAACACTGTTACGATCCTCCCCGGTCCCAGACTCGCCAGGCTCAGCGGCGGCAGCGGCATCACGTCCATGCCGACCTCTGCCATCGTTCCCACCCCTTCCTCGCACGTCACGAGCTTCCCAAACCTCAGCCCGTGATCCACGTGCTCGGACCAATGCACGGGGAGCGCTGGAGCGAAGGCTTGAGGACAGGTCAGTGAAGGAGATGAGCTCACCTAGCTTGCTTCCCGCCTTGATCTCTCCTCGGTCATTCATGTAGAATGCCTGCAAGGAGGTCACTGGCAGGGGCTCCCATGGAATTCACCCTCCTTACCAACCCGTCTCTCGATTTCTCGTGCCAGCCTTTGCAGCAGAGTCAGTTTGCAGACGCTCGGTTGCACGCACCTGCCTTCCATGCACGTTGCTGCCCATCTGTAGTCGGCATCCTTTGTTTCTTCCTCTCGGGGGATAGGAAGAACCCCTCTCCGCTCCTCTGCGTCGCCTGCGACTTTGATCGCACCGATGGCGAAGCATCCTCTTGCTCTGACTACTCTGCAGGACAGCTCATAGCATCCTCCTCTCAGCACTGCTGGAGCTCATTACGCCACCTGCCTCACTTTCCTCGTCCGCCTCCTCACCTTTGCTGCTAAGCGCTGTCGAGTACGGAGCTTTCATCGCACTCGCTCCTGCGACGAGCGACTGACCGTGCGACTCGATCCGCCACTCGCTCCACCCAGACGTCGCCATGTCCATGGGCTTTGGAGGTCGAGGTCAAGGTGGGAGCTCAGGAGGAAGGAGGCAGCAGGAGCACAGCGGCTCCTTTAGCGCTCCTTGCTCGCCCCTGTGCGCTCATTGGAGTGAGGGCCATCGTGAGATTTGACTAGGTCTGTCAAAAATTATGAGAGGACTCGGAAGCAGCGAGGTGGTGGCGCGAAGGACGTGAAGCATGGCGCGAGGGAGGAGGAGGATGAAGAGACGCAGCTCTCGGAAACGGTCAGCTCATTGTTTAATGGCGCCTGACGTCGTGATCAAACTCAGCTGCTGCCCGCGAGCCATTCAGGCCTTGCGAGGGGAGGTGCGAGAGTTGAAGAAGGAAAAGAGAGAAAGGATAAGGTGACAACGATGAATGATAGAAGGTGGGAAGGGAACGTGCGGAAGCGTCAATCTGATACTGCTAATGGCGAGCCAGGCGCAGATCTCTCCTGGCGCAACCGCCTCACGTCCTTTACCAAGTCGAGGCAGGTGTCGACTTCAGGCTCGAGAGCTCGGATCTGAGGGATCCACTTGACTTCCTCCTGCTGACCCTGGCAGATCTCTTCCGCATCGCTCTCTTGCTCAACATTGACAGGGACCTTCTCTTGGAGCTGGGCAGGCGGAATCCTCTTCTCATCTTGCGTTTCTTCTGCTAGCCGGCATCCGATGGTGTCTACGGTAGCGATGTAGTCGCTCAGCTGGTCTTCCTCCCTCATAGACTGCAAGTAGCTTCCTCTCTTGCTCTTGTTCTTCCGGCACGCCATGTGCAATGTGATGGCCGCGGATCGAGGAGACAGAATCGGAGCTTTGGTGGATTGAAAGGACAACACTCGCGGTGTTGTGGCGACGCTCTTGTCATCGTCGTTATTTCCTGAGTCTTGATAGTTGAGAAGGCTGATCGCCGATTGAAGAGATGTTCTCGAGATGCTCGTCATCCCATTCCTCAACCGAGGGTCATGCAGGTCCCCCTTCCCCATCGAGTATGGCTTCTGCATCGACAGCATCCGAGCTTTCAAGATTTCTGAGTTCTCGTGTCTCGCTTGTGTGATGAGGTATGCCTCGTCGCTCTCGTGGTCCCGTCCACAACAAGCCAAATTAGAATGTTCGTTCCCCATTGAGATTCGGAAAACACGCCTTGTCCCAATGCAAGCAGAGAACAAGTGCAAGTGCTCGCTTCAGGGATCTCCTCAATGTGATTTGAGCTGGTCGATCGAAGCTCCTCCCTGCATACACTTCAAGCCCAAGTACTCACTAAGAACCTCCACCCTAGGGAAGATGTTGAGTCGGGAGCCAAGGATAGACCAATCGCTAGAGAAACACGGGCTGAGTCCAGGAGTTGCAGTCGGAAAAGATATGAGTATCAACGTATGAAGTGGGACGTATCCTTCTTCGAGTCAATTGCAAGACCGCGAGTCTGAGGAAACGAGCTGGCCTCGCCTGCTCACGAGCAAAGAGTAAGCGGCCAGAAGTTGATACAGGCGAGAAAGCAGACAAGGGAAGGGTGCAGGTGGTGAAGAAAGGAAGGTGAGTCAGGTAGAAGACATTATCCAGACGAAGGGCACAAATGCAGAGAGGAATTTATCAGGTGGGGCTCCAGGTGGACGGGGATGGGAATGGAGTAAAGTGAGAGATAGAGACAAAGAGACCGTAACGAGAGATCGAGAGGAGAGGGAAAGGGAGGGAGAGCAGCAGTGGGGGATATACCGTGACAAGGGAAGGTGAAGTAAGAAGAGGAAAGGAGGGAGGGAGGGAGGGAGGGAGGGAGGGAGGGAGAAGGGGAAGGGGGGGGGGGGAGGCGGACCGTGGCGTTGG